TTTCTTTTGAAGGGATTATTACCCCCCCAGATTATTTCTGATCTCCACCCCCCCCCCAATCCACCGCCACAGAGGAGGACATTTACAGGTCAACGGAATTTAACTAATCGTTCTGTACTGAAACTTGTGACTTCCACGCCGAATTTCTGCTGTATTTAGGTTCTTACAACAATGAATGGCTTGTGCATTCATATTCCGGGCCATTGGACGACCGAAGGAATCCTGCCCGAGAGGCACCCGGTCAATAATTACGCGTGGAACTCCATTCCGCAGTCACTTCGCCTCGTTCCCCTCGCTCGCCTCCTTCAAGGTCCGTCTCAAGACCCTCCTCCTACGCCCACCCTCCCCGGCCCTCCACCCCATCCTGATCCCAACCCGCCTGCAAATCCTCGACTGCCATCAACCGCTTGCTGGCTGTTGAGGTTCACGAGGCGGAAACGAGAGGGCCAGCCCTGAAACGTACGTACGTAGGCGGAAAAACATCTTTGTGGTAATAAAGAATAATAATAATCCTGGCACTTGGTATACGGCCTCTTTTTCACGTCGGGTAAAACGTCTCAAAGTGCTTCACGGGATTGGTCCGTAAAGTTTGCAAAGGTCACACAGACAGTCGTGAGTGAGTGAGTGAGTGAGTGAGCGAGTGAGTGATTGAGTGAGTGAGTGAGTGGATGACCGGTTGTTACTGTGAGCGTCGTGGGGTGGGGGGGGGGGGGTGGGAGGTAGGAGAGCGGGAGGCGGGGGGTGCGGTGGAGGGAGAATTGTTGTCCAAGTTATTTGCTCTGTGCGCTATCAGGTTGCAGCGAGTGTCTGTGTACAAACGCTCTGTCTCTCGAGTTCGTTAGTGACTGAATGGCACCGCGATTAGGAGGAGGGACCGGAGACGGAGCCCCCGAGGTGCGGTGCGATGCCTTGACGCGGGTCGGAAGGCAGACGGCACTATGGTTGCCGAGTGGTTGCTGAGAGGACCAGATTACACACGCAGCGCGCACACACACACACACACACAAAAATATGAGATTGGGCGACGAAAGGCTTTCTGCCGGAGGAACGATTAGATATCGCTAACGCATTAGCGGAGAAGGGTGCGGAGGCGGACGCGGCTGAGTACTGTAGGGGTTCCTGTAGCTCGGGGGTTAGACCGCTCGCCTCGCGAGCGAGAGGATCTGGCGTCGAAAGGGCGACACGTTGGGCGAGTTTCCTTCCTCCACAGAGGCCTCCGTTTCGGAGCGGCACGAAATATATTGTAAAGCGGAGCGACTGTGGACTTTGCGGGCGAAACGCGGCAGCCAATTGCGCACGGCGGCGTCCCCACAAACAGTCGTGGATTTTTTCCCGTGGTGGGGGGGATTGTTGTTAAATGAAACCAATAGTCGCCCTTATCGACGGTTATTCTCGCTCCGCGCAGGCCGGAGAAACAAATCCGCCATCGCCTGCAAGGCTCCTGACAGCACGGGCGGCTTTCGAGTGGGCGGCTGACAAAAACATAGGGTTATATTGCAGACAATGTCGAGGATCAGGCACCCACTTCACAGTTTCTATTAATAGTTTGTTAGCATAACACAAGGCTGACGGGTTAACGATTTAGTGCATCGTTAGCAATGCATAATTGACGGGAGCGTCTCTTTGTGTTTGCAGCGCGTCATCTCTACTTAAGATTCAGGTCTCGGTCGTCTCTCCCTGGCCTCAGGAGCGGTAGCAACTGAACCGCTCGCGGGGAGCTGGGATGACGACAAAGATCACCCGGAGAATCACCAGAAACGGTCCAGGATATTCGACTGAATGTCCTTTCGACGTTGAAACCGAGGTCCCGTCTGTACCCTGTTCGGGCGGACGTTAAAGATCCCACGGAAGGAAGTTTTTCCCTTGGTGTATTGGCTGACAATCTCCACACCCCCCCCCACAAATTAGCTGCCGCGCTTGCCCGCGAAATACACGATCAGCGCCCTTCACGGTAAGATCCCGCGAAGCGCTTTGAGAGGTCTCCGTGACGTGATAACGCATCGCAGCGAATGCAAGTGAATTACATGTACTGTTCAGGCCAGAGAAGGCCGTTACGGTTCCCAAAGCTCTTTATTCCATCTCAGTTATCTCGACTCGACTCCCCTGCCCCACGGCACACTTAGTCACACAGGAACAGGAGGAGGCCGTTCAGTCCCTCGAGCCCGTTCCGCCATCCTGTTAGATCACGGCTGATCCATACCTCAACTCCAAACATCCTGACCTAACAAAATATCTACCCACCGCAGCCTTGAAAATTTGAAAATATTGATTATTCATCGATAATATCACGGCGGTGGTTCCTCGCACTCAGTTGGACAGCGCAGCTGTGTCACACAGCAGCTGTGCTACTCTCCGCCTGCGACAGAGTACGGCAATAACAAATCAACACGAACAAAAGGAGAATAACACGAGGAGGAGTGACCTCCTCCACTGCCTTTAATCCTCGATTTGTTTCAGCCCCTCACGGCCTCTCTGAATCTACAATAGAATACCATCAAACACCACCTTTAAACACTCTCTCTCTCTCTCTCTCTCTATAACAGACATTATTATATAATATACAATAGACACACAGCGTGTGTATATATATATGTATATATTAAAAATAATAATTTGGTCAGTCAACCCACGGCTGTTTGCGGGACGCTGCTGCGCGCAATTGGGAGTGCTGCCCGCAAATGCACAGTCACTACACTTTACGGCGTATACCGCGAAGCGCTTGGAGACGGCTCGAAGTCGCGATGAGGCGCTACAACGAATGCAAAGATTATGATTATATTATATTATTTAGGGGCGCGACAACAACGGGCGCCTTATGACGCCGCGTAACATTATAACATTAATGTCATATTATTATATTACATATTATATTATCATATACAACAGACAACAAACACACCCACACCGGGGCAGCAATAAACATTTGAGCACAGACACCGTCCTTGTACCGGAAAAGCCGCATAAACCGATTGATTGAAGAGAGAAAAAAAATCAGAAAATAATACGTATTTTTTCAAAAAAAAAACCACATTCACATCTCCTAAAATACAAACCGAAATAAGGGTGTGTGTGTGGGGGGGGGGGGGGAGGTGTGGGGTGTGGGGTTGTGGGGGGGAGAGGTGGGGTGTGGGGGGGGAGAGGTGTGGGGGGGTGTGGGGAGGAGAGGGGTGGGGGGTGTGGGGGGAGAGGTGAGGGGTGTGGGGGGAGAGGTGAGGGGGGGTGGGGGGAGAGGTGAGGGGGGTGGGGGGGGGTGGTGGGGGGAGAGGTGAGGGGGGTGGGGGGAGAGGGTGGGGGGGTGGGGGGAGAAGTGAGGGGGTGGGGGAGAGGTGAGGGGGGGTGGGGGGAGAGGTGTGGGGGGGTGTGGGGGGAGGGTGAGGGGGGTGGGGGAGAGGTGTGGGGGTGTGGGGGGAGAGGTGAGGGGGGTGGGGGGGAGAGGTGTGGGGGGTGTGGGGGGGAGAGTGAGGGGGGGTGGGGGGGAGAGTGTGGGGTGGGGTGGGGGGGGGGGGAGAGGTGGGGTGGGGGGGGGAGGGGAGAGGTGTGGGGTGTGGGGGGGGAGGGAGAGGTGTGGGGTGGGGGGGGAGGGGGGATGTGGGATAAACATTCTGGAGAGAGAGAAAAAAAAACGATTCGAAAGAAAACTCCGCGAAATGAACGTTTAAGCAAATTGGGGACAGAGAGACGGAGTGTGTGAGAGAGGAATAGATGGATATATATATATATATAGAGAGAGGGACAGAGAGAGAGGAGAGAGGGAGTGTGTGAGAGAGGAATAACACTCACACTCAACACTCACACACACCACCACACACACTCACACTCAACACACACACACCACACACACTCACATTCAACACTCACACCCACCACACACACTCACACTCAACACACACACACCACACACACTCACATTCAACACTCACACCCACCACACACACCCACACTCAACACTCACACCCACCACACACACTCACACTCAACACTCACACCCACCACACACACTCACACTCAACACTCACACCCACCACACACCCACACTCAACACTCATACCCACCACACACACCCACACTCAACACTCATACCCACCACACACACTCACACTCAACACTCATACCCACCACACACTCACACTCAACACTCACACCACCACACACACTCACACTCACACTCACACACACCACCACACACACTCACACTCAACACTCACACACACCACCACACACACTCACACTCAACACTCACACTCACACCACCACACACACCCACACTCAACACTCACACCCACCACACACACACACTCACACCCACCCACACACTCAACACTCACACCCACCACACACACACACTCAACACTCACACCCACCACACACACTCACACTCAACACTCACACCCACCACACACACACACACTCAACACTCACACACACACTCAACACTCACACCCACCACACACACCCACACACTCAACACTCACACCCACACACACACACTCAACACACACCCACACCCACACACACCCACCACTCACACCCACACAAGACACCTCTCACAACCAAATAAGTCATCAAGTGTTCAGCCCGACAAGAAACAACAGCGCAAGACACAATTTCAGAAACGTTCTGAACGACTTTTCTTTCCAAGAAAAAAACAAATACATATATATATATATAATTTTTTTTTAAAAAATAACCTGTACAAAACTACCTGACTTTCACTGCTCTGGGCCACAGTGACGGATTTGTGCCAGAAATTTTGCACACATCTTAAAAACTGCGAAAAGATGGGGAATCCATAACTGGATAGAAAAAAAAATACAGAGGTCTTTGCACCTCCTTCAACACACAAAAAAAATATTCCGGTCTTTTGCTCAGAAAAATATTATTGCTGTTAAAGTTTTGCTAAAGAACTATGAAACAGAAGGAAAAGGGACATTCAGGGGAGAGAGAGAGAGAGAGAATATATTGACATATATATATATATATAATACAAATCTTTCACTGACCTTTGGACAGATCCATCGTTTCTTCCAAATTGCAAACAAATAAGAGCAACGAAGGTATTGGGTGACAAGTTGGCAAAGAGGTGATAGAGAAGAGGAATATGTGAGTGAGTGGGTGAGTGAGTGAGTGTGAGGAGGATGGGGGGGAAAAAAGAAATAAAATTAAAATAAGCAATGCAAGTCGCCTCGATTCCCTTTTTCTTTCTCTCTTTGTGAAAAAGAAGAGATTTTCAACTCACACTTTTTTTATAGAGGTGACAATTTTTTTTTAAAAAAGTGGGGGGTGGGTGGGGGGTGGGGGGGGGGGGGGGGTGTAAAAAAGCTTGGGTGGGAAGGGAAGAAGGAGGGAAGGTGGGAAAGGAGATAGCAGAAAGCTGCAGGAAACCATCCACAACTGAGAGAAGGTAAAATTGAAGTGCACAGAGAGAGAGAGAAGAGAGAAGAGAGAGAAGAGAGACAGACTCTCTGGTGGGGGGAGGAGAGGGGAGACTCAGAGAGACTCAGAGCTACAGAGAAAATACACAGAGGTACAGAGATACAAAGAAAATACAGAGAGATACAGAGAGCCACAGAGAGATACAGAGAAATACACAGAGATACAGAGAAATACAGAGCTACAGAGAAATACACAGAGATACAGTGCTACAGAGAAATACAGAGAAATACACAGAGATACAGAGAAATACAGAGCTACAGAGAAATACAGAGAAATACACAGAGATACAGAGAAATACAGAACTACAGAGATACAGAGAGATACAGAGCTATAGAGAGATAGAGAGCTACAGAGATACAGAGAGCTACAGAGCTGCAGAGAGAGAGAGAGATGCAGTATAACTCGATGTAATCCTCATCTGTATTAAAGCTTCCACAGCAGTCACTTCCCTTCCGCTGTTTCACAGCCCCAACCCCTCCCTGACGTAATGCACAACAGAAATCAACCAGAAAAACACACAAATTCACCCCAACACCGACTCACACTCACACACACACTCCCTCTGACACTGACACACACACACACACACACACACACACACTCCCTCTGACACTGACACTGACACAGCCTGACACTGACACACACACACACACACACAGCCTGACACTGACACACACACACACACACACACACACAGCCTGTAACACTCACACACACACACACACACACAGCCTGACACTGACACACACACTCCCTCTGACACTGACACTGACACAGCCTGACACTGACACACACACACACACACAGCCTGACACTGACACACACACACACACACACAGCCTGACACTGACACTGACACACACACACACACACACAGCCTGACACTGACACTGACACACACACACACACACTCCCTCTGACACTGACACACACACACACACACACACACACTCCCTCTGACACTGACACTGACACAGCCTGACACTGACACTGACACACACACACACACAGCCTGACACTGACACTGACACACACACACACACACAGCCTGACACTGACACTGACACACACACACACACACAGCCTGACACTGACACTCACACACACACACACACAGCCTGACACTGACACTGACACACACACACACACACAGCCTGACACTGACACACACACTCCCTCTGACACTGACACTGACACTGACACAGCCTGACACTGACACTCACACACACACACACACAGCCTGACACTGACACTCACACACACACTCCCTCTGACACTGACACACACACACACACACACACAGCCTGACACTGACACACACACACACACAGCCTGACACTGACACTCACACACACACTCCCTCTGACACTGACACTGACACACACACACACACACACACAGCACTGACACACACACACACACAGCACTGACACACACACACACACACACACAGCACTGACACACACACACACACAGCACTGACACACACACACACACACACACACACACTCCCTCTGACACTGACACTGACACACTCACACACACACACAGCCTGACACTGACACACACACTCCCTCTGACACTGACACTGACACAGCCTGACACTGACACTGACACACACACACACACAGCCTGACACTGACACTCACACACACACTCCCTCTGACACTGACACACACACACACACACACAGCCTGACACTGACACACACACACACACACAGCCTGACACTGACACTGACACACACACACACACAGCCTGACACTGACACACACACACACACACACACTCCCTCTGACACTGACACTGACACACACACACACACACATACAGGTCAATTTCACCAGAGCAACTCCACAGGCAACCAAAGGCAATCACTCACTCACTCACTTACTCACTCACTTCCCTCTAATTAAAATGTCAGCAAAATACCCTCAAATGCCTCATTCTCCCTTAGGGCAAAACTTGACCAGAATCCACATCCTGTATATACCACATCATATTGGAGCAGTTGGAGGCGGCCACACATTCAGGACATCTGACCATTATATTGTTTAAATTTAAAATACATCTCTCACTCCTTTCACGTGATATCTACAAAGAGATCCTGGAAGAGATTTTGCCTACGAATTCTTGAATTTTTCCCGGGTTATTCTTTCTCTCCCTTTTCCCTCTCCCCCCCCCCCTCCCCCAGGTGTTCTGTTGGAAATTCTTCAGCGGGACTTTATTCTTAATAATAATAATAATTCTTGCATGCGATACAGCGGCTTATCACATCGTCGAGACGCTTCAAAAAGGTCTTGGCGGGATATACCGTAAAGTGGACGGACGTAAAGTGTGTTCTGTGGGTAAAACCCGGCAGCCGGTCGCGCACAGCAGTGTCCCACAAACAGCCGTGGATCGAGTGACCGATTTTTAAACAAAATTTTGGGCTCAAGTGGTCATTATTCGTGTGTGAGCTTTGGCCGCCCAATACGGGGATCTGCCAGTGATGTCTCCTGCCCTCGCCTCCGCCCTAAATGCACCTTTCTCCCTCTCTTTACCCACCTCTCCTCCCTTTCCTCTTTCCTCCTCCTTCAGAGAGAGATAAGGTCTCCTTGAACATATTCAAGACTGAGATAGATAGATTTCTTATTGCAAAAGGGATGAACGGATACGGGGATACGGCAGCGTCAGGTTATTAGCCGGAGTTAGATTAGAAGGTCAGCCATGATTGAATGGCGGGGCAGAGGCTCGAAGGGCCGAGTGGCCTCCTCCTGCTCCTACATGTTATGCTATGTTAAGGTCAATGGCGAACCTGGCCTTTTTTGACTGAATTTAGCTAACGCAGCACAAACAGGACATTGAACCCCGTGACCTTCCCATTTTGTGCAGCTCAAAACTACCGAGTGGATAAACTTGCTGAGTCAGCGTGGTTGGATTGTGGCAGTGGTAGTTTGTGGGATGGGGAGGGAGGGAGGGAGGGAGAGAGAGCGCTTACATTGTTCTTCTTCATGGAAGCATAGAATTATACAATACAGAAAGAGGCCATTCGGCCCATCGTGTCTGTGCCGGCTTAAAAACACAACACGACATTGTTCCCGTTAAAAATAAAGTCACAGTGGGCAGGATCTAACGTGGTCGGCAACGTGTGGAGGTGAAGAGTGACAATGGAAAAGCAAAGCGGAGAAACTAAGAGATCATTTGATCACAGTAACAAGAACCACAACAATCCTTGTGTTTGGTGAAGCGCCCTTATCAAGTCGGATGGACACCTCAAAGCGCTTCACGGGAATTGCTGCGAAGTAGAGCAACTGTGCGTATGTGTGGGCAAACGGCGGCAGTATATTTGCAAGGAACTTTAGATGCAATGATTGGGAAAGAGCTTGAAGGATTAGAGACATGTTTACGCCAAGGGCTGATAGAATGCGGTGTCACCAGAGGCTGCTGAAGCCAAGCTGGTTGCGCAATGTAAAAGGGAATGAGGTAAACACTTGAAGAATAAAGTTACAAAAGGCTACGGGGAAGGAGCAGGGAAATGGGAATATAGCAGACGGCTCCAGTGGCAGCTAACAAGGCCCAGCACAGGATAATGTGATCGGCCAAATGGGCTCCTGTGCTGAAATAACCCACGGTTTGTCATTCCGTGCAGCACGTGGCGATAGGGCAATGTGCACTGATAACAGTGCCTTTCACGCAGGGCATCATCTCAGAGCGCTCAACGGTGGCGCTGACCGTAAGCACGAAGGTCAAAGAGAAAGGTCTCTTTGGGTTTGATCCGAAAATGAGGGGGTGGGGGGTGGGGTTGGGTTATTAATGGTAATCCGCGCATTTGATACAGCACCGTATCGAGTGGTCGAGGCGCCTCAAATTACTACCCAGGATTTAATAAAATAATGATAATAATCCTGACGTTTGATAAAGTGCCTTTCACGTCAGGAGGACGTCTCAAAGTGCTTCGCAGGAATGCACTGGCGAGTGCAGTGACCGTGTACTTTGCAGGTGAATTCAGCGATCAATTTTGCACGCAGACGTGACTGATTGACTGATTTGCCGTGTCAATCCTCCACCCCCCCCACCGCCCCCACCGGAGGTGGAACGGAGGAGAAAAAGGAAGCGTCTTGGTTAGAATAATTAGAATAATTCTCTCTTACGTGGGCTTATCACATCTGTCTGGGTTGGACGGGCTGCCATGGAAACAGTCGAGCTGTGGAGGTTGGAGAGGTGGTGGTGGACGGGGGTGGTGGGGGGGGGAGGAGCAGTTATGTAGACTTACACAGCTGTGTGTGCTTTCAGGAATGTTGGGCCCAACACAAGAGAAGCTGTTCCTATTCAGTTCCTCTGCTCTGCTTAAAGGCAGTTGTGGGTTTGGTTTGGTCTTCCCCAGTTGGCCGTTGGTTTGTGGGACGTCGCCGTGCGCGAATCGCCTGCCGTGTTTCGCCTAGAAGTTCGCACAGTCACCAGGCTTTGTGGCGAAATCCCACCACGTTATAGCGCCCCTGGTGAGAGGATAGCGCCCTCGGAGCGCTTGACAGTGGCGGAGCAAAGATGGGGTGTAAGGAGAGAGAGAGAGAGAGAAAAAAATACATTTTTAAATTAACACGCATATTTACGTCAAAAATCAAAACGTCGGTGGCCAGGTCCACTCGGTGACATGTAGCGTTTGCGGATTCCCATTAAAATGATGAGTTGGCCTGTCAGTGCGCAGACACCCGATCTCTGCCGGTGGTCTGTGCCCGAATTAAAACTAAAAACGTCCCGTGCTTCAGCCGTTGAGAATTCGTCTCCTCCCCGACAGCTGTTCTCGGTGGTGCAATCGGGAGATGTGCAGAAACAATCCTCGGCTTTGGCTCGCGAGGCCCCGACCAGCTCTCACCGCTCAGTGCCTGTTAACCCCGCAAAAGCCAACACGCTGACGGGTCGGGGGTTCCCAGCTGGACGAGCAGTGGGGAGCTCGCCTGCCGGCCGGCCAGCGCTCTCCGGCAGTTACCCCCCCACCCCGAATACACACACTCAGGGGGTCCCCAAACCATTGCTCTCGCCGGCTTGCACTTCAACCTCCCCTTGTAAAACAGACATCAAGACTTTTTGACCTGCGGAGACGTACAGAAAGGGGGGGTGGGGGAGAGGGGTGGGGGAGGGGGGGTAGGGGGAGAGGATCCGCTCATCACCACAGCACTGAACAAACAAGAAACAGTAACCGTGACCGAAGGCCTGGCTGGCCTTGAGCAGTTACTGCAGGTGTTTCACAGACACTAACACACATACACAGACCAACGTACAGACACGCGCACACATACACAGACCAACATGCACGCGCACATGTATCCGTGCGCACGGTGGACATGCACACATAGAATGGCACACGCGCACGACAGGTCCATGCGCATACAGACACACGAGATACATGTGTAGACGCGCACACAGAGACACACAACTCACATTTATACAGAGCCCTTCACGGGGTGGGTGGGTGGGAGGGGGAGGGGGGGCTGGGGGGTGCACGCAGGCTTATTGCAAGGCAACGTGGTGTGACCTACATCAAAGCGTGTTGCACGCAAAGGGGCCCAGATGTACTTTGATCCTGTGGAAACACTTGTGTTTACTGCTGCACTTTGCTCAACAGGTGGCTCTCGCTTTTGTTTATTTTCTGATCCTCGCCAGCAATTGCGAGCTCTGCGTTTGCAGCAGAGCGGTGGCGGGGAGTCACGAAAATCGGGTATTTATAGCTCCCGAGAGAATCGGTGGCTTCCTGTTGTGACCGATGTTAACCATCACCAAACAGTCACTGGACAACATCAACGACAGCTTGCCCTGGCCACTCCCCGTAATGATGCAACTTGATAATAATCCTTGCGTTTGATAAAGAGTAGTGCCTTACCACATCGTTGAGACTTCTTAAAAGCGCTTCACAGGATGGACTGTGAGACGTGTTGAAGACGTGATAAGGCGCTATATCAAATGCAAGATTATTATTATTATTATTATTATTACTGTGAAGTGAATTGACTTGTGTATTTTGTCGGCCAAATGATGTAACTTGCACAGTTAGACAGACGGGACCTCGGTTTAACATCTCACCCACAGGACGGCATCGACAGTACCGATTTGTAGAACGCCTTTCACCTCCACAATGCAGGGCACCCCCTGGGGCTGCCTCGGAGCATCGTAGCCTATGCTACGTAGCCATGCGGGGCTCGAACCCACAACCTTCTGACTCGAGTGATGGGAGTGGGGGAGGGAGGGTGGGGGAAAAAAGAGCGCTGCCGGCTGAGCCCGGCCGACACCGAAGGCATCCGTGCATCCAGCTCGATTTGCTTCGATCACGCTTCCGACGTGAAAGGCGCGACATAAAAGCTATTGCTGCGGCGGCGACATCGGCGCGTTCTGGAGGCAGTCAGTTTGGATGGCGAGGGCAGGGTGCGCTGTATCTTACAGCCTCAGGGCGGTGCTCTCTGTTCAATTGACTGCTCCAAACATGACGTGGCAGCTGAGTGCTCAACACAAGAGTCGGCGCCCTGGGAATGGAGTTTTTAACAGTAAAAATAGAACAGCGGGCGTTGGGCAACAGCCTAACGCGTAGCCACCCTGCCCGAGGGCACGAGATAAACGCAAGCTGTTGCTGTTGCTGTAGAGCCGGAGGTTACGGTTTTACGTCGAGACGCAAAACACACACACACACACACACGCACTACAAAGTTATATTCGCTGAAACGCCAATTAATACCCGGAAATGTGCAGTTTGCGACTTAAATCACCGGTCACCACCTTTTGTTTTAGTTTGTACACAACATCCCATCCGCCTGTCCGGGCAGACGTCACTGCGCGCGAAGAGAGGAGGAGTTTTTTTTTCTTCCCGGCAACCTGCCTCGACGCTGCCCTGGAGTCCAAACGGGTCGTTTGTTCCGTGGCAGATTGCCGTGCGCAAGTGGGCCGTCACGTTCGTCCACGAGATACATAATGAATACGCTTGAACCTGCAGAAGAGCTACCAGACTGAGACAAGCCACATCCACTTTTGCTCGACGTGGAGCGCAAACGGGTCGACAACAGAGGGAGCTATTGTGTAGGCGAAGGGAAATGGTAACTGGGGTCACTTCAATCGTGGTAATTACCGCTGATAAGTTACCGCTGTGGCACAATCAATCGGCTGCCGCGTTTCGCCCACAAAATATGCCGTCAATCCACGTGACTGTACATTTTGGGAGAAAATGGAAGTCAGGAGGAAAAGATTATCCGAGATTACTCGATGCCTTTTGCCGCCCACGATCTGCACTGATGTTTTCCGTGACGAGAACATTTGGGAAGCAGGATTTGGTGCATCAAATTAACGGTCATTCCAAAGGGACCTTGTCCTGAAGCCTTGCTTGATGTTGTTTGAATCAAATGAGCCGTTAAAAAGCTGCTGGCTTTTGTACGCGCAGCTGGACAAACACTGCACGCTCGACAATCGCCCCCGTGTTTGGCATTGCACCTTATCGAGTCATCGCGGTGTCTCAAAAGAGCTCCACAGCAATTTCCACTGCGTGAATACATCTCAGTGCGACATTGGTCCGCGATCCAAACTCCGTACAGTTGCCCTAACCTTGCCGTCTTCGCTAGCTACAACATACTGACCGTTACCCTGTAGCTTTACTTTGTTAAACGCTGTTAAAGGATTTTGCTGCAATGGGGAGGGAGGGAGGGAGGCAGAAAAGACAAAGGAATCACAGTTAAAGAAGCATTGGGAGTGGGACTTCTGGCAAACAATTGGCCGAGTGTTCAAATCACAAATGCCATTTAGTCACATTGCTGTGCAGAGCCCCACCCCCCCCCCACCCCCCCAAACACCCCCACCCTACGCTGGTCTACCATCGGTGGCGTATTCCACGAAGGTCAACAAAGTCCGCAACTGTCTCACGCAGCAACTGGTCACGTATAGAGGTCCTCTGCATGGACCAAGCCAGACTCTTCGTCGAGTAGGCAGAAACGGCGCATGAAACGTTTTAAGACATTTCACCTTCACAGCCGTTGACTCATACGCGAGGATTATATTCATGACTACGTCTTTACAAGGGGAACCGTGCGCCATTCGGTTTTTGCGTGGTTGATTTTAACCATTCCCGGGACGCCGCTGTGCGTGATATTGGCCGGCACGCTTCCCAACCCCCCCTCCCCCATCACCCCCCACGAAAACACGCAGTCACTACACTTTTCCGGCGACACTACACTTGGGAGAACGAAGTGGTCGCACGCGCATTCGAACCGCCTCGCACCCTCCGACGCACGGTTTACCGTTTTAAAAGAAAGGTTTCGAAAGAAGAAACGAGGAAACGCTTTTGGTGGAAATTTCTGTTCTTTTAAAAAGCGTCCCCGCCCGCGCTCGACGGCGAGAGAGGACTTTCCCTTGAAAGTTCCCAAATACATCAGGCCTCGGTCCGCAACACGACTTGCTCACGCGATGCAGTGCTTCGATGGAGAAACCGTATAAAAATAATTCTGGCGATACCCTCAGCCCATTGCTCTAACCCACCCACTCACACTTCCTCCACCACCACATACTTTGCAAGAGAGAGTGCACATTGAGACTGGGTCTAACCTGAACTCAAGAGACCCCCCCCCCCCCACCCCCCGATTAAGATTAAGAATCGCTCCACAGCTTGTTGCGCTTTCCCCTTTTGCCCCCAAAATACACAGTCGCTTAATACACTTATTCTGCCACTGCTATAAGCGTTCTGAGACGCTACCCTTCTGTCGGTGGCGCAATAGAAATGCAAGTTGTTGTCGTCCACAACTGGAGTTTGATAATCAGGCGAATAAATTAAGAGTGACACAGATTTCTTTTCCCACAGAAGGTTTAGCGCCCCGCGAACTTTTTTTTCCCCCTTGCTGCACGATGTGCTTCACTCCTGGTACCAAAGTTCCCTTTGCTCTGCGCTCCCATCCCAAGACTCAATAAAGACCCTCCCTCCGACCAATAGACTGGGCACAAAAACACCACATTTGACCACGTTTTTCCACGCAGGTGTACAGTATAAGAACTGATCAACATTGGAAGTGAAACTCGGATTCGTCAGTTCAAGAAATATCTCTGAAAAAATAGATAGCTTTCCATCTTTTGACCTCTTCCCCCCCCCACCCCATCCTCGACCCCCAACCCCTTTACAAGAATTCACCCAAATACAATAGCTTTGACATCTTTGTACAGTATGTACACACACACACACACACAAACACACGTGCGAGAGTTAAATGGCAGCCATCATGGCATTTCCTGAACAAAACGAGGGGACGTCCTCCTGACGTGAAAGGCGCTTTATAAATGGAATCTTGTTGTTGTTGTTGAAAGCCGAGGGTTAACTGGCTGTCCTGCTTATTCTGCCGTTCCTAAGTCCCTGGTGCACTTTGATGTGTTTGGATAAGTGGTCGCTGCGAGCGAACTTCTTCTCACAGATGTGACATTGATATGGTTTCACTCCCGAGTGCGAGCGCTTATGCCGGGAGAGTTCGTCCGATCGAGAGAACCTGAAAGATTGGGAAAGACTGGGTTAAGCAGAGGTGGTGGTGGCCATTCAGGAAATAATAATAATAATCCTTGCATTTGATACAGCGCCTTATCCCATCGTTGAGACGTCTCAAAGCGCTTCACAGAATATACCATAAAGGGGATTGACTGCATATTTTGAGAAGGTGGAACATTTAACTTTCGGAAAGTTTGGTTCATTTGTATGTAAATCCCCAGCAAAAGGGCGGAACCCCCCCCCCCCCCCCCCACCGCACAGCTACACACACAGATACAGACACAGAGTTCCTCACCAAACACCAAAATCTTGAATCAGAACATTTGAAACTTTAATATCACTTTTTCTCAAGTATTTAATTCCCTTTTAGAGATTGTGTGCGTCTCTCTCTCTCTCTGCCTCTAACTGTGTGTGTGTGTGTGTGAGTGTGAGAGAGAGAGCGATAGATAGGATCATTGGAGAAGCAAACACACACTAATATGATTGTGCAAATGGCTCCCTAATGAGCCATAGATTTCTATTCTTCTATACTGTGCAAACCAGGTTCTTGCAAACCGTGCACATTCTGTAACAGGAATCCTTGGTATGTCTTTGTGACAGAGGGCTGTCGTGTTTATTTGGTGTTCTGTGTGCGTATTCCTTCGCTATACAGCTTAGTGAACACAATAGCCTGAACATCTTTGCCTACCTGGCTATCACAGCAGCAAATCGGTGCAAAACACCTCAAAGAGATTCACAAGGAGTTACTGTAAAGTGCAGGGCCTGGGTATAGTGTATGTTTGTAGGCAATTTGTGTAGTGCAATCCCCACAAATAAAATGGAGTGAATAACTAATTTTACGGGGGGCGGGGGGAGAAAAGAGGGAAAAGAGAGTTAGCCAGGACAGCTTTTTTTTTAAATACAGCGTCTTTTGAAACTGAAAGTGATTCACTAGGAGCTACAGTGAAGCGTAGTGACTGTAGAATAATAATAATCATAATAATATCCTTGCATTTGATAGTGCCCTATTACATTGAGACCCTCAAAGCGCTTCGCGGAATACGTGGTAAAACGGGTTGGCTGTATATTTTGTGGGTGAAACGCGGCAGCCAATTGCGTACAGCAGCGTCCAACCGGCAGTCGTGGATTGAGCGGCCAAATCAGAGTTAAGGGATTATTACCCAACGGAAAGCGAGGAGTGGAAGGGGCGCGACTCACCTCCAGCCGCAGTCTGGCCAGGTGCAGGCATAAGGTTTCTCTCCCGTGTGCCGCCGGTTGTGGGCTTTCAAGTGGCTGCTTTTGCTGTACATTTTGCTGCAGCCAGGGAACGAGCACTTGTGCACACGGATCACCTCGGCCGAGGGCGACTTGGGGAGCCGCTGGGACTGTTCCACCGCGGCGCCCAGCACCGTCGCCGCCCGGGAGGCCATGGGCGAGGGGGCGATCCTCACGAACTGCCGGGCGGGGCTGTTGGGCGGGGCGGGGGCCACCGCGGGGAGCAGGGCGAACGCGTGCCCTTGAACGCTGAGGATCAGCGGAGTCGGCACTTTCACGCTGGGGGCGGGCAGGGGCACGGGGACTGGTTGGAGCTGCACAATGATGGGAACGCCTCTTCCTCCTCCTCCTCCGCCTCCCCCCACCACGAGCGGCGGAGAGACCCCGGCCCCACAGTCTCCGTCCGCAGTCCGGGAAAACTCCCGCCCGTTACTGTTACCCGAAGACGACGATAACAGACCTCGGTTCGTCTTCAACGAGGAGTCGTTGGAGGCAGCCTCCGCCTCGCCCTCTCCCTCTCCTCTCCCTCGCCCTCTCCCTCCCGCCATGCTCTCCGAAGCCGAGAGTCTCTCCTCCGACAGCCCCTCTCGCACCAGCTCCATCTTCTCCTTCAGGAACTCCTCGATCTCCTCCAGGGTGGGAATGAAGTTGCCAGGCGCCGCCCGGCAAAAGTCGGGCATTTTGACGTGAGCCTCGAGGGCAGCAGCGAGCTGGTCGGAGGCTTTAGCCCGTCGAGGGTCTTGCTCGCGTCTGGCCAGGCGGACACAGACCCCCAAGGCGGGGCCGGAGGTCTCACTGGGGCTGCGACTGCTGCAGCCGCTGGTTCCCTGGGAGTCCAGGCTGGAGCAGGGGCTTGAAGCCTCGCTGACATCTTCATCCACCAAGGTTGGGGTCAATGCTCTGTCCCGCCCGTCACTCGCGCCGTTGTTTCCCGAAGACGCCGTCAGCAAGTCGGTGACGGACAGCGGCTCGCTGTGGCTTAAAGAGACCATTTGTTTCTTCCGAAAGACACACACACACACACTCGGACGCGAACAGATGAATAAAACCGCCACAAACGGCTCACGATGACAACGGTACCGGCCAACCACACAGGACGAAAAGCCAGCTCAACGTTAGCCTCCGCGCCTCGTATCGTTCAACGGCCGTGGGATTCATCTGCAAGCAAACGCGAAGAGGAGAAGAAATTAAGACAAAGGATTTTCTTAAAAAAAAACAACACACAAGAAAGATTACCGCACGCGCGCGCACAAAAACACATGCGTACGATAATGCGGCCTCATTCAATGCAAATCACAACGCAAAGTACACGTCTAGCTCAGTTGGCAGCTTTCTCACCTCTGAGTCGGATGTTTGTGGGTGCTAAAAAAAAACCCACGTTTGGACTTTCTGAGCTCACACAGTCTAGATTGACGCTCCCATACAGTCTGGGTGTGTGCGCCGAAATCGCTGCTTTATCAGAGGTGCCGTCCTTCGCATGAGACGTTAAAACGAGGTCCCCAACGCACTATTGGAAAAAAGAAGGTTAGTTTCTCCCGGTGTCCTGGCTGACTAACTCCCAGTGCGCCTACAAATACACAGTACAAGGCACCGTATCAAACGCAAGGATGATTATAATTATTTTCCCAACGGATCCGTTTCCCCTTCCCTGGATAGCCCTGAGGCACAGAAGCTAACCACAGCGCTCGCACAGCAAAACTTGTCTGACGGCTAATTCGCCACGGTCTATGATGCAATCCATGTGAATCAGCGTCATTTACCGAGCGAGAAACCAAATGTCAGGCGAATAGAAAGATAGTTCTGTGCAATTCACATGGATTGATGCCAGGGGTGAACTCAACAGGTTCATCTGAGGAACCCTCGGCACATTTGATCTCCATAATACCAGCGGTTACATGATTCCATTACAGCAATAGACACAGCACAATAACTTAATTTAAAACCTTTATCTAGCACAAATAATATTTTACTAAGAGCAAACTAGCAGTGAGTGCAAGAGGACGTGGAAGTTTTTTTTCACACTGAACTGCAAGCAGACCACTGGTTAAGTGTGCAGTTGTGATGAAGAGACAAGAAGGGCAGATGGTGTTCAGATGCAGTTAAGAACCAGACAGCCTCAGGAAGTCATAAATCGCACGGCTTAGATAAGTCGCAAATACCCACCTCGAAAACCCCTAAAAAAAAATGGGCAGGAAATGGAGATATCGTTCAAGAAGATGGTTAGAGCGCGAGCCAGCGATGCGACTGCGAATCTCAGAAGACAAAACGTGCAAGATACAATAAAGACAGAAACATAAATGACAGTCAAACGTAAGACTCCTCAAAGGCACCTGGTCACCGAGGTTTACCTTTTATGGCACATGTGGCTGGACCTAATCAGAAGCAAATAGTTAGCGCTCCTCACAACTTCCTAAAACCCTCGGTATTTCTCAGCTTTTCAAGGCAATGGATCCACCCTTCCCGTTTTATAATGCATCAGCTTGAAACGTTGCAAACCTCTATGCTATTTCTCATTTTAAAACACAATTCAACGTATGCTGAAAATTAGCTGGGGAGATGTGGGGTGGGAGGAGAGGGGGTGTGGGATGAATGATACTTGGTTGTTGGGGTTGTCACTGCCCAGAAAATCAATAGTAATCGATCCAGAGAGAAGCAAAGAATGCAGCTGGTTGACTTGATAGTGGAGACAATTCTCTAACCAGGGCCCGAAAGTACGGAGTCAACAAATTACTTAAAATTACTTTGTGGAGTCCTGTAGCTCAGTGGTTAGAGCACTCGCTTTGCAAGTGAGAGACCTGAGTTCAATTCCAGGCAGAGGGCGAAACCTTGGGCAAGTTTCCTTACTCCACACAGAGCCTAATAATAATCCCTCCAAAAAAAAAACAATAATTAAATTGGTCATTTTCAATCTACGACTGTTTGTGGGACATTGCTGTGCGCAATTGGCTGCCGCGTTCGCCCACAAATATACAGTCAATTCACTTTACAGTGTGTTCTGTGAAGCGCTTTGGGACGTCCTCTCAACGTGAAAAGCGCTGTACCAAATGCAAGGATTATTATTATTATTATTATTATAAAAAGGTGAAGTAAAGCAATCCTATCCTTGCATTTGGTACAGGGTCTCTCAAGTGGGTAAAGGTGTCTCGAGATGCTTCACAGGGTCTACAGGGCGAATCAGAATTCTTGACGCGTGGAGTTTTTTTAAATGAATAATTATGTTCTTTCTTTTTTTTTAGGAACAGGAGGAGGCCATTCGGCCCCTCGAGCCCGTTCCGCCATTCTATAAGATCATGGCCGATCTGAACCTCAACGCCAATTAATTGTTAACACAACATTGGCAGAGAGTATGCGCAGCTCTGGCAGGAGATGTCGTTCGTCGCGCTCGTGAACGTTTTTGTCACTGAGTTGATCTGTGTAAACGCCTGTTTGACACTCAGTCTGATCTCATATGGACTGTAGGTTCACTCTGGATTGTACAGTGCAGTGTCTCAAAGCACTCTCTACTCTACACAATCCTTAGCAGCTGGAATATCTCCACTACGGCACTTGGCCGTGTGCCAAAGGTAAACAAGGTGGGAGAGTCGCAACTCGTGACAGCCAAACACATCCTAGTTTAAAGTGTCAAGTGATTCCTGCGGTGGTGTTTCGAAACGCCAGCAGTTGTCAACACAAACCTCTCTTGCTCCGAGCAGAGCAGCTCGGGTGTCAGCTTGCGAGGCCTTCCAGTGCTGGAAAGTGTTTACAACGCACCTAATCAGAGTTGAGATACAGATCAGCCGTGGTCTAACAGAATGGCCTTTTCGAACAGAGTTGAGGAAACACTTCTTCGCTCGGAGGGCAGTGAATTTGTGGAATTCTCGACCCCAGAGAAGGCTGCGGATGCTCAGCCAGTCCGTGAACATATTCAAGACTGAGATTGATAGGTTTCTAAAGGACACAGGGATTAAGGGATATGGGGATAGGGCCGGCAGATGGAGTTAGGTCGGAAGATCAGCCATGATCTTATTGAATGGCGGGGCAGGCTCGAGGGGCTGAACGGCCTACTCCCGTCTCTACGTCTTTCACATCGGGAGGGCGTCCCAAAACAGTTTACGTTGCTCACGACCATTTGCAGAGGCCTTGCCCTGTGTGCTAAGTCCCTCCCGGGTCCCTTGTCCCCTCCTCTCCACCAACTGCGGCCGCGCTTTCAGCCACTACGTCCCGAGATTTTGGAACGCCTTTGTCTCAATCCAGATGACCTTGCCCGTTCCTTGCCCATCTTCAGTGAGCACCTAAAGACCTCGGTGCCTGCAGTCCCCCCCCCACCCCCGCCACCACCTCCGTCTCCCTCCCTCCTCCTAGCTTGGCGCCGAGCTCTGCCACCTTTTAGCGCCCCAGGACGCTACCCCGCCTGAAGGGCGCTATGTAAACACAAGCTGCAGTCAACAGCCAGGCCCTGTGGAAGCGTTTGTGCAATGTGACGACTGTATCAAAATGCAATGATCATTATTATTATTATGATTATTATTATAAAAGCAGGGAGGGAAGAGAGGGTGTTAGGTGCTTCGCCCGCAAAATACACAGTCACTGCACTTTACAGTCTATTCTGTGAAGCGCATTGCGACATCTCAGACATGATAAGGGCGCTATATCAAATGCAAGGATTATTATTATAGATTATTATCATATAATGTTATTATTGTGTATTATTATTATATATTATTATATTATTATCATGTCGTTATTGTGCATTATTATATTATGATATACTATTATCATCTAATATTATTATTGTGTATTATTATTATATATTTTGTCATTATTGTGTATTATTATATATTATTATATATTATTATCATCGAATGTTATTATTGTGTATTATTATATATTATGTTATTATTGTGTATTATTATATATTATTATCATCGAATGTTATTATTGTGTATTATTATTATATATTATATTATTATCATGTCATTATTGTGCATTATTATATTATTATATATTATTATCATCTAACGTTATTATTGTGTATTATCATATATTATATGTCATTATTGCGTATTATTATTATATATTATTATCATCTAACGTTATTATTGTGTATTATCATATATTATATGTCATTATTGTGTATTATTATTATATATTATTATCATCTAACGTTATTATTGTGTATTACTATATATTATTATGTATTATTAGCCAATAATAATAATATTATTGTGGGTGTTTAAAGGTCCTTATCCACACGAGTTGTCTCAGGATGAGGCGGAAGCTCGAGGGTTGTCCCGCCCCCTCTCCCCGTTCCTTGACGCTGATTGGACGTCGGCAGTGGGCGGGACCCCCGGGGCGGCCTGCGATTGGCCGGCGGTGCTGTCAGTCAATCGCAAGCGCTGACAGCTGCCCCTCAATGTATCCCCAGTGCAGTGTTTGTGAAACAAAGTCACTTTCGCCCCAAACACAACACAACACACAAACAAACGCCCTCATTTCATTCATTCCCACCCCAAAAGAGCACATTTTAACCCCCAATTCCTCTCCTGGGATGTCTTCCCCCCATCCCCCCCCACCCACCCACCCACGTGCTTTCCAACTGCTTTCACAACACACTTATGAAAGCACTTTTTTTCCATCTGTTGTTGTTGTTGTTGTTATTCTGATTATTAAAATATATTTTTTCTGAGCAATCTTTTCTTTTTCTCTCCTGACATCGGTGAATGTTATTGCCGCCGAGAGAGAGAGAGAGGGAGGGAGGGAGGGGTGGGGTGTGGAAGAGAAAGAGAGGGGAGAGAGAGAGAAGGGAGAGGAGGAAGAGAGGGAGGGAGGGGGGAGAGAGAGGGGGGGAGAGGGAGAGAGAGGGGGAGGGGGGCAGGGGGGAGAGAGAGAGAGGGGGTGGGAGAGAGAGAGAGAAAGAGGGGGGAGGGGAGAGAGAGAGGGGGAGAGGGAGAGAGAGAGAGAGAGGGGGAGAGGGAGAGAGAGAGAGAGAGGGAGGGGGGAAGGGAGAAAGAAGGGTGGGGGGGGGGAGAGAAAAAGAGGGGGTGGAGAGAGGAGAAAAGTAAACCCTGATTCAGATCAGATCAGGTCAGGTCAGGATGCCATGTGCAAAGCCAGACACCGAGCTGTCCGCCTCGAATCGGGGCCACAGTGTCAGTCGGTGCTGTTACCACAAAC